TTCCTGATACTGCATATAGTCTTATCCATGGTTTAATTTCCTAAGTAGAACAGTACATACACAGATAATATGTTATTGGTAAAACAAACAAGCATTTTAGATGGCACAAAACAATTTCCATTGTAAATCAACACACTGTAGACTAGGACTGCTTATTGGTCTCCTTATATTGGGTTAGCGTAAGTCATAGCTCACAGTGACACCAGTTTTGAGATTAATGATCTTATTATGTAGAATTCACGACCAAGTCTTAATGACAGGGAACTGCCTGGGGTTTCTCATCCTATATAACACAGTCCACCATGATCTTTGCAGTGCAACTTTGAAATCTTTCAACAGTAATCTGGATCTAAACTATAATTTATCTTTGTGTATAAAATCAAATCAAGAGCTTTTAGCGTTAGACTGTTTGCCTAGAACTCACTAAAGTACTTCATGTAGATACCAATGAAAACAATAAAAGCAAGTATTTCATGATACTTAAATTGTATCAAGACAATCCCTGATGCTTATATAGTTTTACTGTTTCAACAATCACAGGAAACTAATTAATAAACACTATTACTTTCTCAATTTTTTCAAGAATTATAAAGCTTAGAAAGGTAAATTGATCATCTCGTTTAGTAAGCAGTTTAATAAGTAAATAGCTAAGTAAGTGTGACTTACATGAATTAAATACATAGCATAGGTTCAGTGTGGGCTCTGTTCATGGAAATGTTAGGTACTGTTTTCTAAACCACTCGAAAACTATAGAAGATTTATAAATATTACCCTTTCATTCCTTGAGAACTTCAAATTTGCATATAATATATTTTGATCACTTTCACACTTCACTACCTGCTCCAATCCTCTTAGACCCTCTGCTCCAGCCATTTCCCCTACCAATTCCATGTCCTCTTTTTATAGCCCAATGAGTCTAGCCAGTACTGATCACATTTGCATGGGTGTAGGACTATCCACTACACATGGGCAACCTGCCAGTGGACACTGCCATGAAAGAAACTGGTTTCCCTACCCTAGCAATGCTCATCTGCCAAAACTTCACATACTCTGAGGAAGGATATTTTATTCTATTTTATTCTTGCTCTAGACCCACACAGGAGTTACACAGTATGCTCATGTGCATTCATTTGCCCCAGTACTTATGGTTTGGGCAGATTTCTACATGTTTTACTTCTTATAAAACATACAGAGTTGAAAAAATGTAAAATGACCCATTGATCTATTTACTGTCAGTTTTAAAAAAAATAGGCAAATTAGTCTTCTATGTAATTGATGTTATTGAAGCATTGCCTTTAGCTTTGTAAAAGAAAATAAATATTACTTAGTAAGTCTCAAATTTTTCAATCATTGTCAAAAGTATCTAGTATCAGGTAATACTTATATTTCGCTTTGCTAAAACTCAGTTTCCCCAGTAGAAATGAGACTGTCCATTTACCTGTGCCTTTTGCTGTGGAATTTAACTTCCCTGATTACATTAAAAGTTTCAACAACTTCTCCATCTGTGAAGACAAAGACCTGCACAAAACAAAAAGCAGAACACCCATCAGGTCAGCGTCAAGTTCATATTAAGATAATAGAACTTAACTCAAAACAACTTAACTAATTTACATTAAAGTTTCTGGTGCCTGTTTTATAAACAGGCAAGAGATTTCTAATCCCCAGTGTTCTCTGGTCATTTAGAACGTTTGCACAGGATCAGTGCCCCTTTCCCATACAGCAGAAGCCTGAAATACATACAGTGTTTCCATAGTCTTGCACTGACATTCCAGGACATGTATTCTTGAGAATTTTCATTCCCTCCACCCCTTCTGTTATCCTTGTTCCAATTCTTACCTGTAAGGGATGCCCTGGAATAGGTGGTTTCCTGAAAACTTTCCGGAGTGGTGTTAAAATTTCTGTCCCTCCCAGATCTGCCTGCATAAGCTTTACTTTCTCCACTGCTTTCTCCATGGTTTCCTGAGTGTACCGCACACTATTCCTGAAAGAAGCAAGCACATGTGGTCACGTGATGGCAGCATCAAGTTGGGGGTGCTGAGAAACCCCATCAAATAATAGTCCTTTCTGAACTCCCCCACACCCAGATAAACTCTTTTCACACTGCAGTTCTTCCCTTTAAAAATATTTTTATATGATTTTACAAAATTTTGTGTGTGTGTGTATGTGCACATGCTTGTGGTATGCATGTGGTAGCATACGTGTGGGAGTTCAGATGACATCTTGTGGGAACTGATTCTCTCCATCTACCACGTGAGTTCTGGGGATCAAACTTGGGTTGCCAAGCTGGGTGGCAAGTACTCCTACCTACTGAATTCATACCTATCTTGGATGAGCTCATATATCTTCTTGAACTCTCTTTCTAGAAACTTACAGAAAAAATGCCTCATGGGTGGATCCAAATCCATAGATGTTGAAATAGCAGCCCATAGGCAAACTCTTCAGTAGCAGAATCAGTGTTTCCTGAAGGTGAGAAAGTAGGGTGAGTAGAGTAACTAGGCACACACATGCACAGATGCTTGGTACAACGGTGGAGGTTGTGGGCTGTCAGGCCACTTTATTCTAACTTGTACTCTAAGGAAAGCCTGAGAACTCAGACAAGGAACATACCTCCATCTTAAATACACCCCAGAAAAAACAACAGACTCATCCTCTGTGAGCATATTGTTCATGGGAAAGACATATGCTGTTTTTACCTTGGCAGCATCTATTCTCAGCTGAGACCTGTTCTGGCCACTCATGGGGCTCTTCATACTTCCTGAACGGTCCATCAGGAACACAAATTCTCCACATTTTGTTGCAGTCTCCACTTCTGGGATATCTGGATAGAAACTCACCATTGCAGAAGGAGCACCCATCAAACTATCTATACAGAAAGGATAAGAACTTTGTAAGAAAGATAGAAACTCAAGAATCCTAAAGTCCCAAGAACACTTTGCTGATACAGGCTTGAAATCTCAGTTACTTGGGAGACTAGTACAGAAAAATTGCAAGTTCAAAGTAATCGAAGCTACAGAATGAGTCCACGACCTTTCTTAAGGAAAAAAAAAAAAGGACTAAAAAGAGTGCTGAGAATATAGCTCAGTTGCAGTGATTATCTAACACATGAAAGGCTCTGGATCCACTTCCCAGAACTCTCTCTCACACACACACATACATGCTCATACACTCATTCACTGTGAACAGAACAGTGAGCTAGGAAGACTCAAGCCCAAACCATGTTTTTTTTTTATTTTTAATTTATTTATTTATTAAAGATTTCTGCCTCCTCCCTGCCACCGCCTCCCATTCCTTCCCCCTCCCCCGATCAAGTCCCCCCTCCCTCATCAGCCCAAAGAGCAATCAGGGTTCCCTGCCCTGTGGGAAGTCCAAGGACCACCCACCTCCATCCAGGTCTAGTAAGGTGAGCATCCAAACTGCCTAGGCTCCCCCAAAGCCAGTAAGTGCAGTAGGATCAAAAACCCATTGCCATTGTTCTTGAGTTCTCAGTAGTTCTCATTGTCCACTATGTTCAGTGAGACCGGTTTTAACCCAGGCTTTTTCAGACCCAGGCCAGCTGGCCTTGGTGAGTTCCCGATAGAACATCCCCATTGTCTCAGTGTGTGGGTGCACCCCTCGCGGTCCTGAGTTCCTTGCTTGTGCTCTCTATCCTTCTTTTATTTGTCCCTGCCTCCCTCTCTCCATTCCTCAATATTTTCTTCCTTCCTTCCTTCCTTTCTTCCTTCCTTTCTTTGCATTTTTAGGGAATTTTTATTCTAAATCATTTCAATTTGGCAGTGAGTATTATTTTAATAAGTACACTTTAAGGCATGTTATTGAAGGCAGAGTAAATTTTATTCTTGTGATATTTTCTTATTTATTAATATTTTATATTATTAAAATGCTGAGGGTATCCTCTGCATATTATATGTGTTTCCTTAAGATTTCAAAAATTTGAATTTTCTAAATTATCATGAATGTTAACACATCTGATTCAAATTCTCCTGCAATGCCAAACAGTCTTGCTGCTGACTTTGAAATAAGAAAATTTCAACATATATACTTTTAGTGTTCACTAATTATTTTTATTTTTGATGACTTTATATGTGCATATAACACATCCTGGTCACACTCACCATTCCACCCTCCCTTGAATCCCCTACCTAACAACTCCTATCCCACTACAAGTTCCATCCCAGAATCATGTCTTTTGGTTTCGCTTTATGTTTGGTTTTGTGGCCCATAAATTTCATTAGGGCTGTTCTCATGGGCCTGGGTTTTTTCAACACACTTTCCGAAGCATGAGGTATTATCAGATTTGGACACGTGTGCTCTTTTGAGAAGGGAGAATGTCATATAACTATTTTGAAGTGTATATTTCTCAAGACTGCTCACAGTTCATGTTTACATCATTTGCATTTTTTTCTTTTGAGTTATTTGTTAACATTCTTTCTCCAACTATTTATTAATGGACTTAAGTTCATCTAGAAGACAAAATCACGTTATTCTTTGTTAATCTATTTTTGGTTATAGAAGTGCAAGGACTTTCAGTATTTCATACTAATAATGCTTTCCTGGTCAGGTGGCAGAAAAATCAGTGTGGAAATTTTTGAGGGTAGATTTAAGGCAGAGTGTCCTCCTTTTTAGATGGTGACTTATGAGTGAGGAAGAAAATACCTGCTTCCCTTTCAGGCATCCCCATCTCCACGGCTACACTGGGGCTGTGCACCTTCCTGTAGAAAATCATGAGTTCCACATCCCGGTCAAACTTGTGTCCTTCAGCCAAGGAAACCTGAGCAGTGGACCAGCAGAGAAGCCATGTTAGAACTGCCGCAGATGGTTTCCAGGGACTGAGATCAGATCTAGGGATATAGGCTTCCAAGAGCAGCATGGAAAGAGTTACTGGACAAAGGGTAGGTAAAAGAGGCAGTAGCCCAGAAAGTGAGGAGGATCCAGGAAGGGTGACTTAAAACCAGGTTAATAGCTAAGGCACAGAAGACTGACAACTCTGACACGATGTACCTGAGCAGAGGTCTTGTCCTCTCCAGTGTAGTCAATGGAACTCAAGGGACAGTTGGATTGGATTGTCCTGATTCCAAGCTGGGAACTAATGGTGGCAACCATGCTGAGCGTGTATGGCAGGTCCTCCAAAGGGACTATTGGGGTCTTCAGATCCAGGGAACTGTCCACAGATTGCTCTACAGAAAGAACCTTAGTTCTGTTTCTTGTCATCACTTCCAGCACTCCCAAACATTACAGTGCTTTCCGAAACATATGTTACTACGGATAGGTATTCAAAATGGAGAGGTACTCACCAGAGAGATGATACCTAGGATTCAGGATTGCTGGGAGCACATAACGCAAGGCCCCATCATCTTCCAGAGGAAGCTCTTGCACATATTTCAGGGTGAGTGCCACCTTTGACCCTGGCTGCATGTTCCCCACGTTGCAACGGAAGACATCCCTAGAGCACTTGTCTTCTTCTAAGAGGTATGCCTGATATCCCCCAGAGAGGGCCTCTTCATACCTTTTGTGAGCCTATGAGGAATTACAGGAGGGGTGGGAAAATAAGAGGAAGATGAAACCAATGAACAGACAGGATCTACATAAAGCCAATACTGTTTTTGGAGGGCTTTTTGATGGCTGCTACCAGTGGCAGAGCTACACTCTGTGTGACTCAAATTACCTGTGTCTCAAGTAATCTAGATTAGAAACAAATGAAAGAAAGAATATTTGATGCAGGAATTTTAAGTTGTTGTATTTGGTCTAAAGAGAATGTTCTGTGGAGAGAAGAGGGAGAGACAATGAAGCATCCCTCAGACCTGATACTTGTCCTGCAACTCGGCCACAATTTTCTTCCCGTCCACCAAGGCCTCAAAGCTGAAGACAGCAGAGTCTTCATCCATGGGGAACACAAAGAAGGCCTCCAAGGCGTCTTTCTCTTCATTCTCTTAATTTAAGGTTGCAGAGACACCAGCCACAAAGTCATTGATGGACAGAGTCACAGCAATGCTCTTCAGTGCAACTGGGGAAAGATGAGGGTTCAGTAGGTTCAGAAGATTTGCTAGAGTCAGACCCATAGGCTAGACCTGTCTAGATCTAAAGAATTTGGCATTAAGACTCTTAACTCTTGCTTACCTGGGTCCTTTACGCCAGTGAGTAAGCCACTTGCACGCACCATGTTGACACCGTTTCTGTGGAAAGACACATTATACACTATCTTAAATGGTTAAAGCCAACCATTCAAATACCAACACTTATGTCTCTCTGGCAGAATGCAAGCAGACATGCAGAGGAGCAGTTTTAGAGTTAGGAAGAAGCGATGTGGAGTGAAGGAGACAGAAATGTTAAATAAATTTGTAGTAAAGGGCACCCCAGATTGGAAGATCTAGAAATCCTGAGGTACCCACAAACAGGAACTCTCTGAGGCTGTTTTCAATTGCAGTTTCTCAAAAGTGTGACCAATACATATATACATACTGAACAGGCGCCAAAACTTTAGCTCTTCTGAACACCAATATGCTTTTTTTAAGATGAGAACCAAGGCACCAGCATATAAACGTGTCAATCCATATGGATGAGCTTCCTAGACTAGGATACTAGACTAGATCCTTAGAAGGCATTTGTCCATGATGACAGATGTTAGCGGTGCTCCTGCTGTTATAGTCTCTATTTTTCAATGAACACCTCAGCTTTTGATTTGGTTCACACTGTTCAGAGACCTGCATGGAATCCGAGAGATGCCTGCATTTAGACTCCTTATGAGTGAGTTGCTTTGGAGGTCAGAATTCAAACATATCACCAGTATTCTTTCCAAGATTTTTAAAAAAATATACATATAAAATATTATAATGCAACATAGCATCAATTTAAAACTAGTGTATCCTGATAGGTGTGGCGGTACATGCTTTTAATCCCAGTACTAGGGAGGCAGAGGCAGGAGGATCTCGGTGAGCTCAAGACCAGCCTGGTCTACAGAGGGAGTTCCAGGACAGTCACGGCTATTACACAGATAAACCCTGTCTCAAACACACACACACACACACACACACACACACACACACACACACGGGTATTCTAATTTTATTTCTACAATATTGTAATATTTATAAAAGATATCCTATGTTATGTTTTAAAAAGATGGACAGAGTACGTGCTTCCAGGTTATGATTTACATGATGGCTTTATCACAGTCTATAGATGTTTGTGTCTCAGAATTTGATAGCTACCCAGATTTGAACAGCCTTGAAGTCCATTAAGGATGGACCCTTCCCTCGTGGCTGATTTTGGAATGCATATTCTGGTAACATTAAAGAGGAAAGCATGATCTTGACCCTACTTTAGAATTAAAACTACATACAATATGAAAAGATGGAGGTACTAGGACTTTGTTGGGAACCATTAAAGGAAAAATGTTTTATTCCAGTCAAAAGAAAAAAATTGAGTTCTCTCTCTGGCAATGGGTATAGCTATACATTACATATGATTTTCCTTCACTTAAGCATTAATCCAGTTGGGCCTGTCAATCACCTGGCCAGGAACCTCTCCAGAAAGCTGACAGTTGAGGAGATAGGAGGAACAACTGTCTTCTTAATGAGATAATAAACTTACCACCCCCTTAGCCCTCCCACAGTCTGGAGTCCACAGAGCTCCTATCACACAGGCCCTCAGTACCTGCTGGCTTATGTGAATACTAACTCAAAACGTTTTAACTTTTCCTTCACCTTATTTTGTGTCTTTTTCCTATACCAGCGCAAGGCCTAAGCATGCTTTTATTTGCAGTGTAGCCTTTCTAGATGTTTCCCGAAAGGCCCATCTTTCCATTCTATAGCCATTTACATGCATAAATTAAAAGGCACCGATGGCCACTCTTTGTCCTCCAATTCTAATATAACTGTCCTAGAGCTTCCTTCTAAACCTGCTACCAATGTCTTTTATTAAAGAGGCTGCAAACCCATGAACGTGAACTCTGTTTTCCCAGGAACACTAACTATGGGCCTGAAATTTTCCATGAGAGAATTCTGTACATGATCACCTCCTCGCTTTCCTTCTCCAGCCCTGACAAAATGTATCCCACACTGCATGGCAGGCACCATGAAGGGTACTATTCCCTGGAGCTGCAGTGTCACTGCCTGGAGCACACTGCATGTTTAGGACAGCTGGTTCTTTGATGCTGATGCATTGGCGCCAGGGCAGTTGATTCACGTACCTTCCCCTTCCCTGAGACACACCAGCTAGGAAAATAAAGGCTGTTGAGAGGCCAGTTTTTCTTTGTGGCACAAGCCCACTTCAAGGATTCTGAAGCACTTGACAATGATTTTCCTGAGCCAACTATCATAATTAAAATTACAATTTCAAATAGATTCTGAGTTGTGATGTTTCTTACTGATACAGCATTTGCTGTGCATATGGAGTGTGTGCACATGCACACACACCCACATAGACACACACACACAGAAAGAGAGAAGAAAACATGCAATCGTCATGCTGATCACACTTCCCCTCTTCCCCCCACCCCCACACACACACTGATCAGCAGCTCTGACTCTGGCTCATCTCTTCACCTTTTTCTTCATTAACAGGGGAATAATGCCTGGCTATTAAAATGGTTCGTCACTTGATAGCAAATTGCAACAGATGAGAGCATATGAAAACACAGAGCAGCTAGGAAAACATGCTGAGAAAGGGGGCTTCCTTTAACTGAGACTAAATGAGACAGAGAAGGGCCTGAATCCAGGGAAAAGAATATCTAACAACAGCAACAGGAAGCATCGGAGTAGGAGACTCACCCAGGAGCAGCTCAGCTGAAGGATGGACTGTCTGACAGCAGAGCTCTCAGGCTGGCAGTGGCTGAGAGAGGAAACAGGCAGACCACAATCACCTAATGAAAAGCAAAATAGAACCCCTTTATTTCCTGAGGCCAACCTCAGAGTAAATTCCCCTCACCTCGGGAATTCACCCTTCCTCCCACCCGTTCTCATATAAACAGTCTGATGTGGAAGGCTTTTTTCTGTCTCTCAGGAAAAAAACGGTGGCTCTGAGTATGTGGTGGGCCCAGTATGCCCAGGAGTGATCAGGCTGGAAGTACTGACCCTGACGCTGCTGGAGGATGGAGGGCTTCTCACTGAGCCGGGATCTGCTCTGGTGTGGACCCTCGGAGCACTGCAACTGCAGTGGCAGAGGTGGGAGTGAGAAGAAACAGCTGGCCACACCCCCCCGCAGATGGCTGATGGGAAATCCAGAAGCTAGAAGCTAACCATGGAGGAAACCTGGACTAGGGAGCAGAACTTGCAAACAAAATAAGGGGGTTGGGGGCAACATTTCAACTTAAATTTGTCTGCTCTTGATTTTTAGTACCTGAAAATTTACTTTAAAAAGGTCAGTTTTCCTGAGATTTTTTTTTCCCATAAGATCTTAAGTGCTCCAAGCAGTTTGTGTGGTCAGAGGCTTAAAGCTGTGCTTCCACTCACAGCACGATTTTACAGAAAACTGGTACCTTAGCTGACTGTAAAGAAAGGAACTTCGGAAATGAAAAACGGAGTGGAAAGGGTTAAGGAAGTAGAGGGAAAAAGAGAAGGGCAGAAACAACAAATAGAAACACAGACAGACAGACAGACAGACAGACAGACAGACAGAGAGGGAGGGAGAAGGGCTTACTAGAGGCTACTAGATGATTTAATGATTCTTGCAGCCGGATAAGTTTCCCCTAAACTTCCAATGGCGCAGAAATCTCCCACAAGTACATACTCGCTGCAGTTTGAAGAAGCCCCTAAAGAGAATGGGCCTGCAGGGCCTGGGAGGAAAGGGGAAGGGAAGGCAGTCTTGAGGTGAGGGGTGGGGTGTAGTATGGGGGTGGGGCGGGGTGTTTCTAGAGAGGGGACTGGGATCTGGTCCCAGAACCTGCAGGGCTGTCACTCACCTTCCCCAGAAATCCCCGTGCTGCGAGTCAAGAAAAGTGAAAACAGCTGCAGATTAATTTTCCTGGAAGACACGCCCACTTCTCTGGCTCTGTAACATAGCAACACCATGACTAAAGCATCTGCAGGGAAGAGAATCGCTTTTGAATTTCACAGCTTGCTGCTTCCCTCTGCCTGGCTTCTGCAGCCGGCTGGCAAAGCAAGCAATTTGTTTCTCAGGTGAAAATGCTGTAAAAATCACAAAACAAAACAAAATAAAACAAACAAACAAACAAAAAAGCATGAAAATGGAGTACTTCTATGGCAGAGTTAATTATCAATGACTTTACATACATCAGTGCTTCTATTATTTGAGGCTTCCATCTCCTGTTCACCATGGGTCCGGGGCACACACTCTGCCTTAAAAGGGGAACAGCATCTGGGAAGCAATCACATCTGGTGTTGTTGCTCATTGTTGGCTGGCTGGAGTATCTAGCACTAAAAGTCAGAAGCTGGCAGAGTAAGCAGAGTTCTCCTTCCAGGCTAGTGGAATAAGAGCCTGGGACTTGAGTCTTCTGCAGAGCAGATGTGACAAAAATGTTGTAAGAAACAGAATTCGGGAACACTTGTGGCACAGTACATACAAATAAACAGAATGTTATAGTTAACCATAAATCCAAACTTGATTCTAAAAGAATGCATGATTTTATCCTTACATGTAAAATTTTTAATGAGTTTGACGATCAAGGTTTTAAATAGAAACATGTCAATTTAAATTTTAGGTATATATTTATGTATATATGGAAGGCAATGTTGTGTGAATTTGTGTTTTGTCAACAATAAAAGGTAGAAATATTGTTATCCAACTTTACTAGATAGTTTTTCTCTCTCTCTCTCCCCCTCTTTCTCTCCCTCTTGATGACTGAATAAGGTATTGTATTGGTCTCTGCATGTAGCAGAATATCTTTTAGAGTCATTTTATGAATCCTTTTTTAAAATTTTTTAGTAGACCAGTGGAGTTTGCCTTTGTCCTAGTACTTTGGGCTCTTTAGTCTCTGGCTCTTGGTCACCTAAGAAGTGTCAGGTATGGGTTTTGTCTTTGTGGATTGGTCTTTAAGACAAATCAGATGTTGGTTGGCTATTCCCACAAGTTCTGTGCCACCATTGCCCTAGCATGTCTTGAAGGCAGGGCATATTATAGCTCAAAGGTTTTGTGGTAGGGTTGGTGTTTGTTTCTCTTTTGGTAGCCTATAGAGTAACTTCCTGCACCAAAGACACTAGAATTTAGGGGTGAAGGCTTCATTTAGGCACCAGCTCAAAATCTTTATGGTCAATGGGTTGTCCTGGTGTTGTCCTTGGCGATGGAGCACTGCTGTTAGTTTGTGGAAAGCAATTCCACTGTCTTAGAAATACCCTGGCTAGTACTAGGATTTTCAAAGGTTACCTTTGGCCAACAACACAACACAATTGAATGCTACCTATTATGAATACTGAAAACCTCATTTTGTGACAAGATATGACCACTTAGAACTCTGTCCTCCCCATTATTTGGAGACCTTCTTTAGATCACTTTCATATATTTTAGGATATTTCTACTATACTAGGTTTTCATAGCATCCCTCAAATACCCCTGAATACAATCTCTCTCTCTCTCCCTATATTCATTCCAACACTATATCCCAAGCACCTCCCCATCTAACTACAAGATATATTCTATGTTCCACTCCCAGGAAGATCCACGTGTTCAGACCCCTACCTCAGCCACTTTCTCTCTGCTTAAACTCTCTGGGTCTATAGATTTGGGGTTGGTTATCATCCATTTAGTGGATAATACCCTCATATTAGTGAATACATGCCACATTTATCTTTCTGGGTCTTAATTATCCCATCCAGGATAATTGTTTTTCTAGTTCCATCCATTTGTCTGCAAATTTCATGATGTCATTTTTTTTAAACAACTGAGTAATACACCATTGTCTAAATATCCCATAATTTCTTTACCCATTCTTCAGTTGATGGGCATCTAGATTATTTCTGGTTTCTGGTAATTATGAATAGAGCAGCAATGATTATGGTTGAACAAGTGTCCTTGTGGTAGAATGAAAAGTCTTTTGAGTACATACTCAAAAGTTGTATGAGTAACCACCATGTTGATTTGCATAGAAGCTCCACAAGCTTGCTTTTCCGCCAGCAATGGAAGACTGTTCCCCTTATTCTACATCATCACCAGCATGAGCTAAGATATTAATCTTAGCCATTCTGAAAGGTATAAGATGAATTCTCAAAGCAGTTTTGATTTGCATTTCACTTATTGATAAGGATGTTTAACATTTCTTTAAGTGTTACTCAGCCATTTGAGTTTCCTCTATTGAGAATTTTCTGTTTAGATATGTGCCCCATTTCTAAATTAAATTATTTGGATTTTTGTTATCTAGTTTCTTATGTTCTTTGTGTATTTTGAATATTAATCTTCAATCAGATATAGAATTGGTAAAAATCCTTTTGCATTCTGTAGGCTCCCAGTTTTTCCAAATGATGGTATCCTTTGCCTTACAGATGCTATCCAGTTTCATGATGTCTCATTTATTAATTATTCATCTTAGGGCCTGTGTTGTCAGTGTTCTGTTCAGGAAGTCTTCTCCTTTGCCCATGAGTTCAAAGCTATTCCCTAAGGTTGTCATCTACCAGGTTCAGTGTGTCTGATTTTATGTTAAGATCTTTAATCCATTCAGACTTTAGTTATATAGAGTGTGATGACAATTTGTGTTCGTCAGCATTCAAGCATCCAGTTTAAACATCATTATTTACTGAAAAATGCTGTCACTTTTTTCTAGTGTGTATTTCTAGTCTCTTTATCCAAAATAGATGTCCGTTGGTGTGTTGATTCATGTCTGGGTCTTCAATTTGATTCTATAAATCAATGTGTCTGCTTTTATTCCAAATGTAGGGTAAAAGAGACAACTGGAGCAGGAAACTAACCAATCACTGAGCACCCTGACTCTGAACCCAGAGCCAGGGAAAGAAATACACCCTGTATCTGAGACCTGAGCCCGGGAAAGAAAAGTTTTTATCTCTGAGCCCAGGACCAGAGAAACATGCCCTGACTTTGAAACCAGTGCCAAAGAAACACACCTTGTCCCTAGAACCAGAACCTGTGAAAGAAATATGCCCTGGTCCTAAGATTAAAGTCAAAAAGCTAAAAAGGACAGTGAAAGAAACACAGTTTGGCCATGAAATCAGAGCCATCACTGCCCCTAACTAACCAATCCTCTAAGAGACATCCCAGCCAGGTTCTTGTATTCTGCAATTGCAAATGAAGATTGTCACTCAAGGCTCTTTTGAAAAAGAGATTTACTTGGAAATGAGGAGTTCAGAAGAGTGACTGCCTCTGCCAGGGAGGTATAAACTGTGGCCTCTAACTGAACAGGCAGAGAGACTTATATATGGCTTCCTAGGGACTGAGCTGAAAAAACTTTGCTGAGATGCTCCCTTAGGTTGACTGAGCAACCCTGAACCTAACAAAAGAACCTTGCTAGGATACTCCCTAAGGGAAGCTGAGCAAGGCTGAGCAAAAAAAAAAGTTAGAACTTTTCAAAGGAGCCAGAGGAGATTGCTACATTTCTGCAGGGGCTTCCCCTTTAGCAGAGTGCTAGCAAAAAAAAGTATCATATTGGGCCAGAGACAAAGTCTATAGCTCTACTAAGACTTTCCCTTAAGGGAACAGAGCAGGGCTCAGCTACAGCAAGCCACTCTCCAGAAGAGCAGAATTGCTACTATCTTGAGGGGAGACCAAGCCCCACAGCACACCAGCTTCAGCTACCTGGCTCCGCCTTAAATCAGAGCTCCTTCTCTCCAGGACTTAGCTATCCTATTGTTGCTCCAGCCTCCAGAGCCATTCTATTGCAGCTCTAGATAGCCTGGCTTCCTGATAGTCAGGACACCTCTCCTCCAGGGCTGAGCTGTCCTGATGCAGCTCCAGCCTCCAGGGATGTCCTATTGCAGCTTTACACCCTCCAGACCTGTTCTGTTGTGACTCTACCCCTCCAGAGCTGTCCTACTATGTCTCTAAGTATAGCTTGGCGTCCTGGTAAGTCAGTATATCTCTGGAGATTCACAGCTGTAACGCATTCCCTTACACCAGTACTATGTGGTTTTTATTACTGTAACTCAGTAGCACAATTTGAAATCATGAATGGTGATCTCTTCAGCAGATCTTTTATTGTTTAGGATTATTTTAGTTATCCTGTCTATTGTTTTGTTTTGTTTTTCCATTTGAAGTTGAGAATTATCTTTTCAA